TCAAATAAGTGGCAGCGATAAAGGCATCCTCCCAAAACTTAAGTGGCATAGATGCATGCGCTAATAAAGCTAGGCCAACTTCAACAATATGTCGATGCTTTTGTTCGGCAGCCCCGTTTTGTTGGTGAGCGTGAGGACATGAAACAAGATGAGAGATGCCAATGCGCTCAAAAAAGGAGTGAAGTTTTTGATATTCTCCTCCCCAATCAGTCTGCATAGATATAATCTTGCGATTAAAGAGCCTCTCAACAAGATTTTGAAATTCATGAAATTTCTGAAAAACTTCAGATTTGTGCTTAAGAGGATAGAGCCACACAAATTTGCTATAGTCATCAATAAAACTAACATAGTATTTGTTTCTTCCAACACAAAAGGGCGAAGGTCCCCAGACATCTGAGAAAATAAGCTGCAAAGGTTGACTCGAAACACTATGAGATTTTGGATAAGGAAGCTGATGACTCTTTGCCTTTTGGCAAGCATCACACATAGATTCTTTATTTGATTCACCTAAACAAGGGAGATTATTCATACTAATAACTTTAGAGACAATGGGAGCAGACGCATGACCCAAACGACTATGCCACCTTTCAAAAGATGGCTTGACAACTCCAAAAGCTTGCTTTATGGTGGACGAAGGAGGAAGAGGATATAGGCCCCTACGGCATGATCCTCTAAGTATGGTGTTCTTCGTGACCTGATCCTTGATCAAAAAATAATCAGGGTGAAATTCAAGGAAAGTGGAATTATCTTTAGTAAGACGATGAACGGAAACAAGATTTTTAGCAGCTTTTGGAACGTGAAGAATATTATTTAGATGTAAATCACGAGTTGGGGTATGAACTATTGAATGACCAATATGTTTAATTTCCATACCTGCACCGCACAGACGGTGTGAATCGATCGCCTCCGTTGTACTTGTCACGAACGGCGAGCTTCTCAAGATCACTAGTTATGTTGCCCGTAGCACCAGTGTCCATGTACCAGTTTTGATCCATGGAATAGAGGCTCATAGCAGCAGCAACATGTCGTTCCTCTGGAACATAATTCTCATCAAAACGGTGCCAGCATTCAAGCGCCGTATGTCCTGTCTTGAAGCACACTTGGCAAATGGGGCGCCCATTGCTGTCATGGGTTGCGATGAGGTCCGGTGGGAAAATTCCTGCGTGGCTGGTTCTGCTGGTTGTGGCGTGACTGTTGCTGCTGTCCACGCCCACCGAACGCGCCCACAAGAGCCTCGGCCAAAGCTTGATCGCCCACGACCGCCACGGCCAGAACCACGCATCTGCTGGTTCCCGCCACGGCCGCCTCTCCCTGCGGTGTTGGCTGATGAAGATCCTGTGCCAAGCTGTAGTTCTAATCTAGTCTCAAAACTTAGTAATTGTGAGTACAGTTCAGCAGGGGTAACAGGTTCAATCCTAGTTACAAGAGCAGAAACTAAAGGATTGAATTCTAGATCTAGACCATTGCAAATATACATCACCAACTCTTCATCATCAAGATGCTTTCCTGCTGCAGCCATCTCATCTGCAAGTCCCTTCGTCTTGCCGTAGTCTGGGCTATGGTCATGTTCTCCTTCTTTTGTCGTGGCGAGAGCGAGACGTACATTGGTGGTACGAAAGCACGCGTGTGCGACGCGAACATATCGCTGATCGCCTTCCATGCTTCAGCAGAAGTCCTTGAGATGGCGACTTGCGCCAAGATGTCCACGGACAGGAGCTGAGCAGAAAACCGAGGACTTGCTGATCCGCTGCAAACCACTCCTCATAGGCTGGGTTGGAGGCCATGATGGTCTTGCCGTCGGCCTTCTTTTCTTCAACCTCTGCAGTTGGAGCAACGGCTTTACCGTTGACATAGCGCTCCAGCCTCGCGCCTCGTAAGGTCGCGAGAACCTGCGCCGACCACATTGCATGGTTCTGGCGGGTGAGCTTCTCGGTGACTTGAACACCGAGAAGAGGGTTGGACGTCGAGCTTGAGGACGCCATGGAGATCTTGAAGCTTGAATCGCCTAGGCTCTGATTACCATGTAAAAATCAGAGGTGCGGTGGATATTGTGGTGGAACGCCGGCCTCCAAACATGGAGATCTCAGCGGTTGCGTGTTGATTAATTGAAACGCACAACATGGTGCGATACATATATATATGGCGCAAATCATGACCGGCTAGGAGATATTCTAGGAAGGAAAAGATTTACAACAAGAGTCCTAGACTTATACAACAATCTATATCCTTAGCCGGTCAAGTCTCTCCATATTTAGTTACATTTCCATATTTGGTTTATACTATGTTTAACAATGTGACCTCATATGCGTGTTCATGCCGGCGCATCGTGTGAGGTGAGAACAAAACTGAACGTGGCTATCAACCGCGGCGTCTGCATGCGTCCATGTCTGCCGTCGGAGTACGCTATGAACGCAGGAGCTGAAAAGAAATATATCTTTTTTTTAGGGAACAAGATGAAAAGAAATATATCTTAGGAATGAATGTATGAGCATGAACCATGTATGCCTATGTACGAGTACGTGCTCATCGGTTTCTGACAGCAGGGAAAGCAAGAATCCAGCAGGGCAAATGATGTTTATTGTTGGTGTATATGTGTCCGCTGCCATTGTCTGGTTGCAGCCTCCAAATCATGTCACATTCACCATGGACAAAAGAAGAGAAGTGGAGATATCAAGACATCCCATCAGTGATCATCACAATATGTATCGACTGATAAAGATCGGAACGGCGGACAACGGGAAAGGAAAGGACCCTAGCCAGTGAAAATATCAGCTGACTGGTTCATAAACTGCTCGGGAGTAGTAGAGTGGAGAGAGAGGCACAAGGATTTGCGAGTGGCTTCCACACACTTGAACAGTTTGATTCACCGGCAGCTCCAATCGAATCCGCCTGACTTGACCGTCTTTTTTTTTAAAACGAATGAGCAGGAGAGCGTGGTATAAGACGTTTTAGTCTGCCACGCCCCTAAAATAGGATAATAAAAAGATAGAAGAGTTGCCAGATGTTTTGCTCCGGCCGCTTTCCAAAGCCTAGCTTCATCTCTAATCGACTTGACCTGTCTAGAATGCCTGCTTCGCTGCTTGCTTCAGGCAACACGATGCTTAGGACTTCAAAGATTCTTCTCTCTGCAGTTTGACGGCGCTTCTAGTCAAAGCAGAGACTTCGTAAGCTCTAATTTTCATGCCCACTTGCACCTCCTGTTTTCAAACCAGAGACCAGAGAGGGACGGACACTAGCCCCACACGTCAAAAACAACCAGCTGAATTTGCCGCAGTGCCGTTAGCTCTCCCCTTTCTCCAGTTCACACCTCACACTACTATAGTGCTAGTACCAGTCATGGTAAGAACACTGCTGGACTTGTACCTGGACACTACAGACAGAATTGCTCCAACTTCATCTCCAGTCCATCACTGTCCAACAATTCCAAGCTCACGGATCACAACACAGGCAAACAACTCAATTAGCCAATGCTCTATGCATAAACATGCATATATGGGCATGTTTGGTTGAGCGTCGTCTACCAGACAATTCTAGAGGTTCAATAATAGACGCCTAGAGACGTTGCCTGTGCCGCTGTGAGCTAGGCAGCTCCGACCAGGAGCCAACCAAACAGGCCCATAGCGTCTTTTGCTTCATTTTCCTGCACTCAGCCAGGCTAGAAAATAAGCTAGGACGGCCTAACCAGGCTACGCAGTCAGTCTATGTTTGTTTGCCAAGGTGAAGGATTTTTGGCTTGATCAAAGATTGTGTTTGGTTAGCTGTTTTGCGTTGTTTTTAATGATCACCTCTTTTTTCATGGGTGAGTTTAAACTCTCCAATGCCTTCTCGTCCTCGGTTGTACCGTCGAATACTTGCTTGAGTTGGTCGTCGATAGACGACAGCATGTAGTGCAGGCTGCTCGCCGAGATGTTCCCACCAGTGTGTCATCGTCCCACACGAGCACGGCCCCTACGGCGGCCACCGCGCCGCCGGCTGCGGCGTGCACCTCCCACTCACGCTCACCTCCGCCCTGGCGAGTGGCGACGCACAAGACGCAACGCCCGGCTGCTGCTGCCACCGCTGTAGGCACTGACCAGACGCTTGCGCAGGAACACCACCCGCCTACGTGAACTATTGGAGTTTCTTCGTCTTCGTGCCGGAGCCCCTGCGCGTCTTGTGCGTCAACGTCCTCCTGAAGCACGTCGAGAAGACGATCACCGATGATGTCTTTGAGGATCCGGACTTTTTCCAGGGTAGGAAATTCATGAGGAAATAATTTAAATAACCATTTAGTTCTTCGTGGAACTCTGTTGCTCTCAACAGCTAGCTGGAGTGTTCGGTTATTCTGAATGAAAATGTGGCGGGGAAGCTCTCTCCCCCGTTTGTTTTTCAAAAAAAAAAAAAAGTTCTTCATAGAGGGTTTTCCATCCCTGGGTGTGCCTCTCTCTTTCCAGATTAGCCTTCATAGTCCTAGCAGCTGCTGCCAACGGACATGTCAAAGATCACAGTTACCAAGTAAGTAAGCCACATTTTCCTCACAAGTCACAACTATCAACTGATCACATCATCAGGTTTTCGTTCTTAGCTACTTGCGCCTTGTTTAGATTGCAAATTTTTGCAATCCGGACACTGTAGCACGTTTCGTTTGTATTTGACAAACTTTGCCCGATCATGAACTAACTAAGCTCAAAAGATTCGTCTCGTGATTTACAACCAAACTGTGCAATTAATTATTTTTTTTACCTACATTTAATGTTCCATGCATATGTCCAAAAATTGATGTGATAGAAGAGAGAGTGAAAAAACTTGGAATTTTGATGGGATCTAAACAAGGCCTTGGACACTCCCATTCAGCCATTCTACCTGGTACCATCCACGGTTTAAGAACGAACCGACACACTGCACTCAGACGTTTATACCCTAACAGAGTAGTAACAGCTACACAGGCAACCAAAAGCGATTAACACCGGGCTCAAATTACAAGGTCAGGCCATGAAGCCGGAGTCTCCAGGACCTCAAGTTCAGGCATCCGCGGCCAACTGCTTCTTCTGCTTCGACACCTTGGCCTGCAGCTTGTCGAGCTTGGCGCTCATGCTCCTCTGCTGCTCGCTGACGGAGCCCTCCTGGGCGCTGCACATCTGCGACCTCACCTTCAGGCCGAGCCGCCGGGGCACGACGCGGGAGGCCCACCCACCACCGCTGCCCTTGCCCGCACGCCCGCCCAGCTTTTCGATCTCCTGCCGCATGCTCGAGCACTGCTTCTCCAGCTCGGCCAGTCGCATCCGCATGTTGTCCATGCCGACCTTCAGGACCTGGTTCTCTCGGACAGCCGTGGCCCAGCCCCCAGCCTCGCCAGACGTCGCGATGCCGCTCCGCAGAGGCCTGGAGCCTTCGAGGTTGTCGGAGACCAGCAGGCACCCTGCGATCGAGGTTCTCAGCTGGAGCTGCTCGAAGAAGAGGACTTGCACCACCACGCGCAGCGGCAGCCTCTCGTTCTGGGCGGCGTGAGTGCATGCTTCCAGGGAGAGCTTCTGGCAGTCCAACAGCCGGCAGAGCTGCTCCCTTTCAGCTTCTGATAGCCAGGAATGAGCCTGCCGACAAGGGAAGATGTAACATTAGTATTACACTGCCAAGCCTGCAGGATATAGTATTTTTGTAGACAAGGCACGTAGACATTTCAGCAGTACTCTGTCCAAAGTTCATTTTACGATTAGGCAAATTAAGAGTACAGAGCTGTAATAACAACGTGAAATACTGTACGCTAATTTACCTTCAAGTATATATCAATGGCACGATAAAGTCCATCATCCAGTGGCCGGGCATATTCAGGGATAGCAGATGCCAGAGCTTGGAACTTAGAAGGCTTCAAATTGATATCTGGTGAAATTTCTGCAAGATAGCCATCAATTAGCTTGGCAACACTTGTGATCGGTGCCAAGGATGGGGATGCCATAACATCATCCAAGCATGGGGACTCGCCGCCATTTGCCTGGTCCATTGCCAAGAAATGATCAAGAATCCTGTGCACACACTCCACATTGTACAGAGTTTCCATTGTGTAGGAGAAATTTGGCAGCAGTAGATCCTCCAAAGTGGCCTGGTCTAGTTGCATGCCAATCCGTTTCTCCAAGTTAGAGATGCACGTGGGGCTGGCTTTCAGAATCATGGCCGTGCGAAGGAGCCCAAGCAGAACTTTTGTTGATGCTACACCCTTGTGAACGGGCAATAGCCGGTTGATCTCCTCAAGTAAGTTTTTCTGTTCAACCTCAGATAGAGTAGCCGTAGGAGCCACTGTGCCCATGCTATGACTATGACGCCTATTGAGTCCTGGAAGATACTTCTTGGCATAGTAGGTCAAGGAACCAGCAATTATTTCAGGCCGAATGCCTCGAGACTCCATGGTGGAGATTAACCTCTTGTACATGGGGAAACTCAATGATGAAGCATCACCATACCACCAGTCTGAATTGAAGTTTCTGGGCCTTGCACCCGTGCTGATCCCATTCCACAGTACACTGCCACCTGGGCTTTGCATCATGCCATGTTCCCTTATCGGCCATCCAAAGAGGTTTGGATCAGTAGTAGCTTTTGATGCTAACGACTCGATGCATCTCTTCACAATCTGGAGGTCTTCAGCATGGGGGAGTAGGTCATCACATGTCTCCAATGCTGTCAGGGAATCTTTCCAGTTACGGAGAACCACTTGGTTGAGGAACATTTCTGACTGGGCAATCAGGTTTTCCTCAGCCACTGCTTCGGTCATTTCTAGATGCTCTGAGGCACATCGTAGGTAGACAACATTTGCAGGAGAAAGCTCTATTTTCACACCATAGCAGAACCTTGCAACTAGCTCAAATGACTTGGCACCCCCAGGAATGTCATTTAGTTTGATGATGCATTCTTCTTGGTCTGAATTTTCTTCAATCGACCGTTCGAGAAAGGCACTTTTTGAAAGTAAAGGGAACTGCAATGAGATAGTCGTCGTTAGGGAGAAAACAATCAACATATAAAAAGGTTAATTAAAGGCACACATGGCAATCAAGTGACAAAAAAAGTATTGGGACAGAGATAAAAAGGTTATAGCCATTTTCATATTCTTTCATAAATTGCAGTAGAAGAAGCTTTACCCAGAGAACACTAAGTCAAACAAAGTATGATGAGAGTTTCATTCAAATCAACGGACTGTTTATTGTTGCATCAGGATTTGGACAGAGAACATTTGCTAGAGCTGGACAGAGGCAAGCTAGCAAAAAGGCTATAACCATTTCTGTCTTCTTTCTTGCATACCACAGGAAAACACAGAAATCAAGAATAATATGACAGGGAGTTTCATTCAAATCAAGGAACTGTTTATTTGTTCCTACAGGATTTGGATAGATAACTTTTGCGTGTTACATAAATTTCCTGGATGCACTTTGAACAGTCTTCCAGTAGTTTCACAGTTTTTATAGCTCTTGACTTAAAATAAATAAAGCTTTAAAGAGTTTCAATTCTGGGACTCATTAACAGGAAGGGCATACTTTAATGGCTTATAGACATCCACAGAAAAGAGCACAATACCTTGTGAAGGTGGAAAGACATATCCCCAACCTCAACGGTGACATCGCTAGGAAGTCCTGTTGTGCAGAACCTAAAAGGTTCACAAGCAGAAGAACAATCAAAGTTCAGATAAATTTGTATTCAGTAAGAACTGAAAGATATCTCTGATCAGGCTCCTTGTGGTCACAAACAATGATGTGCACCCACCTAGTGGTTAATGTCGATTTCAAATTATTTGTACATCCTATTCCTGACTACAAGCAATTCGACAGAATAATGTCGTATTTATTGCAGAGTCAGGTGTAAATATATAGAGGGATTTTTGCGATATATATTTCTCACAAAAAGCCACACAATATACCAAACAAAAGTTTAAGATAAAAAGCATATTTTTTTTGTGTTGATGTATACTACCACAAGAACAAAATCACGGAGACCCTCTAAGCACAGGCACATCGATGTAATTACGAGCAATCAGCTGGAAGGAGAATGATGAGTTAGAGATTTTGACTTGTCCAACGAAAACAAATCCAATATGCTCATGCCTAAATAATTCCATGATCGTTACATCAGGCTCCATTATTAGGAACAATAACATCTCACTGCCAACTAAATGTGATGTGGATCCATGAGACCCGCCCCATAAACCATTGGCTGAAGCAGTCAACTCTAATTAACTAGAATTTTTGTCGACATAACATGTGATCAACTGCACCCACCACGCTTAAATGCATTTAGTATGCGCAATAAGGCACTCATGCAGGATACCTAACCGCTAACCACGAAATCTATGAATCCCGTTTTGTTGTGCTTGTAAAGAATAATAACAAAATGCTGCTCATAACAAGACACTAGACATGTAGATAAAACAGCTGCCAATCGAACATTTTTCAGTTGGACATTAGACATGTACTACATTAAAACAAAAGCAATGAAACAAATGCATTGCTGCAGGAGCCCACAAGGCAGGAAAGCTTTGAATTCTGAATTCTGACAGCCACTTAAAGGGCCCGGTTGGACAAGGAGGATGCTCTGGGAATATTTCGTACGCCTATTTGTGTTGATAGTTCAAAATTTGAACTGAATCTCAAGGACTTGAATCCCAGTGCTCCGATCCAACGAGGCCCACTTGTACCCTACTACCAATTGCAACCACCAATTTGAACAAAAGAAATACCTAGAGTTCTTCTGCTACCATGGTTGTGCGAGCAGAAGAAGAGTGGGAAGAAGACAAGCAAGCCAATAATTTACTAGAAAAAATGAAAGGTAATACGACAGCAGAGAAAACTCGGGATGCACACACACACAAACACAGAACTACTACTCCTAGAGAAGAACTGAACAGAGAAGGTAGGTTCAGGATGCAACAAATGCCTCCCCGGAGGAGCGCGGCGAAGGTGTCGTGCGGTACGGTCCAAACCAGTTGAGCTGTGGCATTTTGGGGACAGGTCCGTGCAAAATCCACACCAAATTGAGCAGGAACCCACCCGGAACCTCCCGAATTCCGAGGCGCCAGCAGCTAGGAGGAGAACGGAGGGAGCAGCAGGGCAACGGAGGCCCAGTTAATCCGTCCCGGGCAGCACAGAACCCACCCACAAGGAAGCTCGGGAAGATGATTAGGAAAGCGCCGGAGGAAGGGAAAGAAAAAAAAAAAAAAAAGGAGAGGAGAACTTACCATGCCTGGCCTTGCCGCTTGAAGGCGTCAGGCTTGGAGCCGAGCTTGACGGACGCCATGGCGGGCGGGCGGAGAGCAGGTCCAGCTGGTCGACGGAAGCAGGGAGAGTCGCGGCGGAGCAGAGCACGCAGGGGACCTCGCGCGCGCGCGCGCAAGCACCCGACCACCGCTCGCTAACTCCGGAGGCCAGTCACGCCATGGGTGTGCTCCCCGGCCCCGAGCTCTCTCTGTCTCTCTCTCTGCCCGAAGCACAGCAGCAAACGCAACCTAATCCAACCACCCCAGCCCAGGAAACCACCAATGCGGGCTGTTAATGCCGGGGTGGTCACAGCACAGAGAAGTGTGGGGAGGGAGGAGGATGCGGGTTGAAGACAGAGGCAGGCGGTGGGGAGAGTGGGAGTGGGGGTAGCAGGCGCGGCAGGTGGCCCTGTTCGCTGAAACTGTTTTCAGTAAAATAATAGTGTTTTTCTCTGCATCATCTTTCACCGTCCCTCCCTCGTCGGCTCGTCTCATGTCGGTGCGTGTGGGGTGGGGTGGGGATTGAGTGCGCTTAACTAGGATTATTCTTTGTTTCCTTGGGGAGGATCTGGAAGACAGCGGCGAGTGTGCCAGCGAAGCGAGGGAGGAGGACAGGGACTCTCAGTCAACGGACGCAGAGGAAGCCATAATTATAAGGTGCAGACAAATCCTCTGCAAGTAAAAAGGCGAAGCAGCCGAGAGGCCTGCGGGGTGGGGGTGGGGAAGAAGACAACGCCGCCCGTCCTCAAAGCTGAGTCTGATCGGTCAGGTCAACAGGCTGCTCCCCTGCCATAAAAGCGGTAAAGTGTAATGGTGCAAAACGGCATGCACGGCAGAAGAAGAAATGGGAAATAGGCTTGCCCTAAATTCCATAATTTAGCATGAAGTGTAATTTGGTGCATTAAAAACGGATTAAATGCAAATCAGAAGAAGAAATGGGAAATAATTGAAGTTAACGGACCTGTTCAGCTGCTGACGGACAAAGATACCAAAAAAAAAAACCGATGCTACAATATTCGGTTTTCTGGCGGCGCCGAATCTGTCATGAACTAAACATGGCCATAATTGAAGTTAACAGACCTGTTCAGCTGGCTCAAAAAAAAGACCGATGCTATGCTAATCAGCATGTTCGTTTGCTCCTATATAAGCTAGGATATTATTTTTTTTCACACTAAATTAGCCAGCAGTAAATAATCTACGATCATTTACAGCGTGCTGAATAGACTAAATGTTAATTTGTTATGAGATAAAAACATTGTTATCTATCTACCATACCCTATAATATAATAAATTTATATCCACACAACAAATGACTATTCTATAGTTATGATACATGCTACATCCACACCTATAAATATACTAGTCTTTTAACTCATTACTCATCTTAAAACTAACGGCTAAGTTTAGTGTGTTTCGCCTCCACCCACGTACGCGGGCTTCAAACGCGCCCCACGCACGCAGGGATCGAATCCCTGCCCCGCTCCCGGTGCCACTTTTATTTTGTTTTCGAAAAAAAACGAAACGACTCTTCGTTCCTCTCCGACGCCCGCGCGCCCGAGTGGCCCCTTCCGATCGCGACAACTAGGGCTTGCGGCGGCGGGCATGCCCTCGGCGAGTGCGGCGGCGTGGCTGGAAGGCAAGGAGCCGCGCGACCGCGCCCGCGCCCAGGGCGTCAGGCAGCGGCGCCGGGACGAGAGTGAGACACGCCGCCGCAACCCTTTCCCGCTGCTCCGCTCCCTTCGTGGTTCCGCCGCTTCTTTCTGCATCGCCCCTTCTTCTTCATCCGTGGGACGGCAAGGCCTCAGTCGTATGTTCCCCTCCCTCACCTTCCTCCTCTCCCTCTCCCTCACTGTTTTCCCCCACCTATATTTGCGGCGTCCTCCATGAAGCAGCATCTCAAGCCGTGGTGGATGTGGATGGATTTGAGGTGGTTTTGAGGCCCAGAGGATGGATGCGGTGGAGCGGGCTGGACGTGGAGGGTGCCGACGGCGGGGGCGCTGGGGAGGCGGTGCGCCGGGCGCAGTCGATGGTGCTGGCGCTCGACAACGACAACGACAACGACAACGCGAGCCTTGGAGGACCATGCAGAGCTGCTGCTTCGGGTACTCGCCATGGGGCAAGTGCATCACACATCTCATGACACGGATTGCCGAGGCCGCCACCACGCTGCACGACATGGGCAGCACAGTCGCCTTCACAGCTACCGCCATCGGGCTCAAGGGATTCTGCATCGTGCTCTTCGTCTATGGCACGGAGCACGCCTACCATGGTCTCCACACCCAGTGAGGACGATGTTTTGCTTTATCTCTTGTTTCATTATATTATTACAAATTTATCGTTTACTGGAGTGAGGAGGACCTGGCCATGCTGCCATGGAGGAGAACGAGCTCCAGCCCTCCAGCTGCTGCTGCAGCCACCAAGTGTAGGCAGAGGAGGAGGATCCTGCCATGGCCGAGAGTACTCCGTCAGAACTAACTGCCAAGAGACTGCATGTTTCTCTAAGCGGACGAAGAGGATCCTACTCTGCAGTTGCCATTTGAGTCTTGGCCTGCTTTCTCTTCTCATTCGTATGTGCATCAGTGCATGTGCCTTTGTGGAAACAAATCGTGATCAATAGAGATTGGTATCTTTTTCATTTGTACGGAAAATTAGAAGAGATACTCTTCACTATTTGCAGTGGTAATAACTGAACGGCAGAACGGAGTATCTTAACACAGTGAGCAATTATTAAATTGGAATGCGTCAAAAGCAAGCCCACATCGTTGCAGTTTTTTGGGCTGCAGGCAAGCTCACAGTTGAGCTCAGCTCAGCTCTGCTATGCTATGCTTTACACTCTCCCTCACTAACATACATGTTTTGGTTGGCACTAAAAAGTAATTAATAAGCATCCATGTTACACTGTGTCACTGTGTGTGGACAATCTGTGACCAATTTATTTGCAAGCAACAAGGAGCTCCTAGCTGACTTGTGTTTTATGCTAAGGTTATAGGTAGTTTTTCATTCTGTAAGAATTCATACACAGTTAGAAAAAAAAAACTAAATGCCTCAGCCTAGAAGTTTTCTGTGGATTCGTGTACATTGATAGAGACCCAATGATAGTTTTGTTTGTGATCACACATGGGCACTCTCATATTTGCTTCCTTGCTTTGTTGCAAATACCAAATAATTATGCTCTATGAAAATTCTGACATGGATTCTATTACCTTTATGAATACAGTGGCTTCCTCTATTAAAGCATGGACTCTGTTGTTCAACACTCGACTCTTATTTTCAGGCTACAACGAGGAACATTCTCTCAGCTGAAATGCAGAACCTCTCTAAGTTTTGAGGATGGATCTATGGATGGCTCACTGCTCATATCTGCATAGTGAGGGTTAGAAAAATCTTGAATTGCTAGAATCCTGCAAAATATTTTTTTACTTGTGGATTAGTAAAATAAGTAGCAAGTAGCCTATCATGCTTTCAGAAATAGAAAGCAGAAGAACTACTCCAGTGACTAAATGGATTCATAAAACAAAAGAAAATCGATCAAGTTAGCTGTAGCCTTGCATAATGTTGCCAAGTTTCTAAGAGCACAAGAAAGATATCCAAGTAGTGAGATTCCTGCAGCATTATTTAAGCCCCCTAATAAAATAATTAGCGCATATCTAACATGAGATGACCTCTTATCATATTGTATCCTTGATTACTATGGTTATGTTTTTTTCACAAATTTAGCCGGTTTGTTGCAAGAAAAGCCGTTCTTGACAAAATTTGTTTTGCCATTGATATTAATAGAAAGATGGTTCTGCACTCGGAAATGGCATGGTCAAATGTCAGAACATTCCTGTTGTGAAATGTTGGTTGGGTTTGAATTGAGAAAGAAAAGCAAGTTAAATATGATGGGCTTTCCGGATTTGAGTCGGCATTGGTAAGCTAGAAGCCTATATATACTGATGTGCCTATCTTATGGTCCGTCTTTGTAAACTGGTATGCTAGAAGCAAACTGCATAACTCAGTGCTGTCCTAAATTTCGGTTATATTTAGATATCTTTTTATTGCTTTACAGGTAATATGCTCTGGCTCTCCTCTACATCATACTGGGATCACAAGCTTCAAGGTAGTATTGATAAAGAGAAGATGTCTGAATCCAGTAAACATGGACACCTTAATTGAGCTCCTTTTAATGTATTCTCTTTTTAGTGAACTGGGCTGACTGAAAGGTACACTCGCTGCACTATATTTGTTTAAATAACCACATTGCGCTTGTAAATAATGTGTTCACATGAGCTTAACAGCTTTATGTATGTACATCCGGTATGGAGTTTTGCTATGAAGCAGAGGACCTTTCATTGAGTTGTAGCTACAATATAAAAAGTTGGGAATTATATGTGTGAAATTATGTTTGTTTGTCAGAAAAAATGTCTATATGAAAGCTGTCACATGAATTCGATCGTGTTTTGGATTTTACCGTGATATTAGCACGGGCATATTACTATTTCGTTGAAACGGTATGGCTCTCCACCGAACAGGGCCGCCAACTTTACAAATCTCCTCCTCTGGACGGAATAGAAGAGAGAAAAACTCAGGAAAAAATGACACGCAAACGGCGCATGAGATGAGATGCGTGCGCCGTGCCGTGCGCGTGGCCTGGTTGGGATTTGGGACTCGGGAGCGGGGGTGCATGGGCGTGGCGTGGTGGGGGCGCGCAGTCGCGCCGTGCAGCGGGGGGAGGGTGGAGTAATTGAGGCGCATTAAAAGTTCTGGAAATCTGGGGCCGCGCGCACATCGGACTATGTTTAGCACAGAGATTCGCAGCCGGGGCTAATAGATTAGATTCTTAAGGATTTTTCAAAAGATTCATCTCGTGATTTCTAACTAAACTGTGCAATTAGTTATTTTTTTTACCTACATTTAATGCCCCATGCAAACGGCTAAAAATTGATGTGACGAAAAGAGAGTGCAAAAACTTAGAATTTGGAGGTGATCTGAACAAGGCCAGAGATTCGCAGCCGGGGCTTGATTAGATTCAAGTTTTTTCATTCTCTTCAAAATTACGAGACGAATCTTTTAAACCTAGTTAGACTTGAACAATAATTATCAAATACAAACGAAAGTACTACAGTATTAAATTCTGATTCCTAACACTCATCTAAACAAGGCCCCGCTTTTGTGCAGATGGGGTTAACCGCGAGGATTACAGGATTGCCCCACCGCTTCGACTGTCCCGTTGTGGGATTTTTTTTTCTTCCTCTCCTTTGGTTTCAAAGGTTCCGTTGTGGACAAGGGAGCTGGAAAGTGCTTGTCCCGGATTTTGCCGTTGTACGGTTTTATGAGCAATTTTTAGGTGAAGTTGAGCTGTTTTAAAAAAATTGTTTAACAAAACAGTTTCATCAACAACTTTATATATAGATGAGAGAGAGAAATGAGGGTGAGAGCAAAAATAAATTACTTTTTTAGTTTTATCTTAACTCATGTCTTCGTGGGAGATGAAGAAAAATAATTTTATAGGTAAATCTGTTCTAAAAACGAATGTTTAACAAGTAAAATAGCTCACAGCAGCTGTCGTGAACAAACAGGCCCGTTCTCTGCACTGTACTCTCTCTTCCCACGTATACTCTTGGCTCTTGGCTGCTTCTGGAGTAGCTGCATGAAAAAGCATAAACAGTCACAGCACATATTTCCTGGAAAAAGCGAAGACATAAGCTGACCGGTGGTTTCTGCTGCTGCTAACCTGCTGTCCCGTTCGTTTGAGCTGATTTAGCTTATAAATCAGGGTTGAACGTAGTGTTGGTAGGTTTGGTTTGGTGTAAGAGAAAAATATTATTTCGTTGGCTGATAAGGCATAGCTTATAAGCCAAATATGACCAAACGAATAGGCTGCTGATCGATGCTAATTTGTTATGAGAAAAATATTTTATCATAACTGATAAACATGACTGATAAGTTACGCCATATTCGTTTGACTTATAAGTCGTACTTTTTCAACTAATAAATAGTATTTTTCTTTCACAATAAATCAGTCTAACAGTATTTTCAATCGTGACTTATCAGTCATAATGAAGGGCATTAATCGTAACAGGGTCAATAATAATATAGCCAAGTATTTTTCGGCTCGGATCTGCTGAGACTGTGCTGTGGCGCTGCAGCGTGCAGCGGCAGCCTGCAAAGCACCAGCAAACGCCAGTAGCAAAGAGAAACCGAAAGCAGCAAAAAGCTGCAGCGGCTACAGCTACAAGTCACGTTTCCGATCACGCCGTTCGTTCATTTAGAGACGTAAATTTGCCCTGAATCTTTTTTACCTAAAATTGGTGCTAAACATTTCAAATAAAAAAACCCAGTACCTTTAAGATAACCCAGAGTTAATTCCTGTTGCCATGCATTTCCCACCTTAAAAAACATTTTCCATTTCAAATATATATAGATAACCAATGGCATGCAAATAAAAAAAACAACTTGTAATAAAAAAAACTCCGGAGGCAGGTGATGACCACTGTATGACAGATCATATAGAGAAAATTCCATGTGCCACTGAATGATTCCACAATACCATGTAAGCCACCGAAAAAATGAGTCTGAACATGAGTGCCATCGAAAATATTTCTACGTTCCACGAGTGCTACTGCCGTCAGAACCGCAACGAGAGTAGATTGTTTTCCTTTTTTCAAAAATCCCCCAATTGCCCTTGCCATCTGGAATGCGACGTGCAAAACTGGTTGGGGGCCACGTATCGTTCCTAGACGCCTGTTGCTCGCGATAGAATAGTTTCAAACTCGAATGACAGTTCGGCGGCGGCGGCGGCAGATCCCGACGACGGCGGTTCCTTGTGGTGGTCCACGCGGTGCTCGCGGATCAAATGACGGTTGATTCTAGGAGGCTTGTGGCTGTCGGCGCAGGATGGGATCCCATGGTGGGCTGCTGCGCGGTGCTGGCGGGTCGGCGACTGCGGCTCCAGCTTGCCAGCGCGCGGGTCCCGGACGCAACACACAAGCACCGGAGGCGTGTGTGCATGTTCTTAGTTTGAGATTGGCTTCACCGAAACCAGAGCCTTGTCGTCCAGATTGGCTTCTCGACGGGTCAGTCATTGTGCTCCCTCCACCTCTGTGGCTCTGTGGTACTGTTGAACCTTAGATAGCTATTGGTTTGATACTGCGTTCATCTGTAGGATGGATCCGAAAATAAGTTTCTTCCTTGATATCCCACTGTTTGGTAACAAGACTAGAGTGGAGGGTGGCTGGTATAGTTTCAGCAAGATTGTAGACAGTGATTATACTAATTTCAAGGACTTC